GGGCAGGTCCATGTCCTCCTTGACAAGTTCCCCAGGCTCCTGGCCTCACGGGCCAGCTATTCTCCAGCTCCATTCTCCAGGAGACCCAACAAGTGAAGCAAACAACCCCCACCCCACCCCCAGGCCTTCCCACAGGCCTCCGCTGAGGCCCTGCCTCCCCCTCCCTCTTCCACCCAGTGAGTGCTCTCCGAGCCCTGGAAGCCAAGTAGGGCCCAACACGTGTCCGTGCTCAGTTCCATCATGTCAGAACTGGCCCGTGGCCCCCGTCTGCTGGGGTCTGCTTAGTCCCAACTCCCTCATCCAAGACATTAGCTGTTCCTCCCAGCTTCCTGTCCTCTGTAAATCCGATCCACATGCTGACAGTGGCCTCGGCCAAGCCATTGATAAAAAAAAAAAAAAAAACAACCAGCCGGGAAGGAGAGGGCCGAAAGCAGAGCCTGGAGTACACCTCCAGAGACCTGTCGGGTTCGCACTGTCTTGACAGTCATTCCCCAGAGTCCCCTGTGTTCCCCAAAGTCTGCTGCCCGCTGCCTCAGTGTCACAGAGACGCACAGAGCCGGGGGCATTCCCCTCTCCCTGGCAAGGACACCAGAGCTGGCCCAGACGGCCTGTTTTCAGGGAGCCCACAACGGGCACTCAGGGCCATCCGAGCTCACATGTTGTCATGTTAACAATGTCATCTAGACTTCCACCCCCGCTTAACACCACACACATCAACACACCTGCACCCAGGCCAGGCCAGGCCCGGGGCTCTGCAGACCCAGAACTGAGCCAGATTCAGCCCTTCTCTGGAGGTGCCCCAGTCTGCAGGAGACCAGAGAACAGTGGATGCGAATAAATAGAATGTATTGAATACGTATTATTCTAAATCTAGATTAACCTTCACAAAAAAATAACTTCATTGTCCCCATTCCATCCTCCAGTGGATACTGAGGCTCAGGAACTTGCCCGAGGCCTCCCAGTTAGTGTGTGTGTGTGTGTGGGGGGGGGGGGGGGGGAGGGCGCAGGCAGGAGCACGCTGGAGCTGCCCAGGGTAGCCTGGAAGGCTCCTGAGGAAGGTGGCACCTGAGTGGAGACGAGAGATGAGTAGCAGCAGCGGAAGAGCAGAAAGGAGAGCAGGGAAGGCAGGAGACTGGGTTCCTTCCCGGCTTCACTAAGCACCATTCCCACCAGCCTGTGGTGCACCAGCGCTGGAGACTCAGGCAGAGCGCCCGCCCGTGACACACTGGGAAGCATGGGGCGCCCTGGGGAGGAAGGAGAGAGGGCTGTCAGGGAAGGCTTCCTGGAGGAAGTGCTGTCTAAACTGATTTTGGAAAGGGTAAGTGGAAAGGACAGGAAGGTGGACGGGGAGACAGAGATTCCAGGCTGCAGGAGCAGCCAGGACAAGGTGGTGCAGGGAGAAGTGGGGAAACAGGTGCTGGAGCGGCCGGTGAGAGGAGGGGATGACCTGAGGCCATGACGGAGTCTGTCACCTGCTCCTGAGGGCTCCGCACCAGAGGCAGCCCAGCCCGAGCAGCGGGAGTGAAGCGCGCAGGCAGCGGTGGGCCCCTCCGGGGTTAGGTGGGCCACAAGGCCCACGTCAGGGGTTGGTGTGAGACCAGGTGCGAGTCAGCAAGCGGCCTTTCTCCCCCCACGGGGAGCCTGGCAGTTGGTGCCTCCCTTCCCCCACCCGGGCACGCGGAGCAGTTACCAGATTGAAACAGATGCCGCCTCTCCTGGGACCCTGGAGCCCAGCTCACTCTCCAGCCACCCAATCTCTCCTGGGCTGGGCGGTACCAGGTGGCTTAGGAGGGAGCCGGGGCCTCTGAGCTCCCGGGGCTCCTCCCAGGGCCTTTGGGGAGCACTCAGCCATGCTGGGGGTGGGGAAGCGAGGTGATCTCTCCTCTCCTCGCCATAAATCACGGAGCCAGAAGGGACACGGAGGTCATCCTAATGGAAGCTCCCACTCAATCTGGAGGCCCTCATCTAGCATCCCAACAGGCGGCCACCTCCCAGCGGGAGGGCTGGCCCCTGGGCCGGGTCGTGAACTCTGACAGTTGAACTACAGAGGCGGTACCTGGTCTGAGCCACATTAAAATCCCGGTCAGCCCAAACCAGAAGACCCTTTTCTTGCCCAGGAGTCCAACCAAGTCTGTCCCGCAGAGAGGCACTTGGGGAGGAGAGGGAACGGACAGGGGCTTCGGAACCACAGCCTTTCCTTGACAACTTACCAGCTGGAAGGCTAGGCCAGTTACCTCCGCCCGCCCTCGGAGCTTTATTTTCCTTATCTGTGATAGAGCCTCTCTTCCTCCAGCTGATGGACAGATATAAACCCCACCTGCGGGTTCCTGAGCCCTGAACCACCAATCAGCACCTGCCAAATACCCTAAGCCCCCCCCCCCCATTCCTAAGTCCCTAGGTCCCTAATCACCAATCAGCGCTGCTGAGGGCCCTAAGCCCCGCCCCCTATCCTTAAAGGTGCTTGTACCCAGGCCCTCTCTCTCTTCCGCCCCCCTCTCTCTGGAAGCAGCCGGCAGGGGTACCCTTCCCTCCAGTAAAGCCTGTGTGTGTCCTGCCATCCCTGTAACTCCCACGGCACAGCCCAATACGCACGGGCGGGGTCGTAAATAAACGACTTGAAATGGGGCTAGTACACCTGGAACTGAATAAATGAATAGAAATTAAAGTGTAAAGGCCTGACGCAGTTTTATAAGCATTTGAATAGACATTTTTAAGTTGACTTCACATTAACATGTTTTGAATATACGGGGCTAGAATAGTATTAGGATTAATATCGCCCAAAAGGAATCTCGCCGGTTTCTTTTCGCTTTTTTAGTTTGACGACTAGGACATTTTACATTACGAACGTGGTTCCCAGTATAAGTGTGTAAGGCAGCACAGACTCAGAACATTAAGGGCCAAATTAGGTGGCTATTCAGGTGTTTGGGGACAGTTAAGCTACAGACAAATGACGGCTTCTGTGGCTGCTGGGTTCCCGGTGTGTGTGTGTGTGTGTATGTGTGTGTGTGTGTGTGTTTCTGTCATACAAGCAAGACAAGCTCGTCCTAGAAATAACAGAGAATGTGGAAAACATAAAAAAAAGAAAACAAAAATTACCCATAATTCCATCACCCCCAAACAGCTTCCTTTCTAGAGCTTTTTTTCTGTGCATGACCATGTGACCTAATACTCCCCGCCAACTACCCTACCCGGCTTTAGGGTCTCAGAAAGGCCACTTTAACAGTTTGGCCCAAAATTCTGAGACCTCCGGGAGCCCCCGCCAGCTGCTGGCAGGACTTTGACCCTCCTTTCGTACTCCTGAGCTCGGGTGTGTGGCCTGGGGCAGGTGCTCCTCTCAGGGCCTTGGCTTCCCCGTTGGACCTTGCTGGGGGGGGTGCTGTGGGAGTCAGGGGACAGTGTGGCCCTGGGCTTATGTGCTGGCCCTGGTCTGGGGATAATCTCTCTCAATGGGTAATGGCCATACAATCTCATTCTAAGCCCTTCAGGATCTGTGTCTGAGACCCACCCTAAGCCCACTGCAAACATTGGCTCATTCATTCATTCATTCATTCACTCACTCCTTGGTTCAGCAGACTGCTGGCAAGCTGTACTCTGGCGGGGTCCTGTGCCTGGACCCAGCATTGAATCAGATCTCAGCCCAGCCCTAGAGGCATTTCCAGAAAGTAGACAGCAATTTAGTAAGATGGGCCTGGGACAGGGGCAGCACAGGGGCTGTGGGAGCCCAGAGACGAGGGCTTCATCCTACCTGGTAGTCAGGGAAGACTTCCTGGAGGAGGAGACACTTAAGTGGTGTCTTCACAGAAGAGTGAGCTGGGCTGAGCAGGATGCTCCCAGGCGGCAGTGACTGCCTGGGGTCGGGAGAGGCTAACGGTGCTAAACTTGATGCTGGGGGCGGCTGCCTGCTCAGAGCCTGAAGATAAGAGGGGCATGGCAGGGGAGGGATTATCTGTTCTTGTTGACATGATTAAAACCAGACAAATACTTCCTGTATCCAAAAGAATGAAAGGGCTTTTCGGGGGAAAGGGGGGAAATCCTTTCGGCAGCAAAACAAAGCACGAGCATTTCCTTAACTAACCTCTCCTTCCCCCTCCTCTCCCTCCCCTGCCACAGCCGAGAGGAGTAGCTCTAGGCTGGCTTGCACTGGGGGGTGGAGTCCGGGTCAGGGTGGGCAGGGGTCGGGTGGACCCAAGAGGAGAGAGACCCACAAGCCCCCTTCACACAGCCTCTCTCTGGGGAGTCTGGGTCTGAGCACTCACCCAAGGTGGCCACAGGGGGCAACCTCTCAGGGAAATCTAACCATGGCCCCTTATTATAGATTGAGATCCCAAGGCCCAAAGATGGGGGAGTGAGTGACTTGCTTGCCTGAGGTCTCATAGCCAATGGGCAGAGCGAGGACTAGGACCCAGGCCACCAACTCCCAGCCAGAGCGCTAACACATTCATTCACTCCCTCACTCATTAGTTTATGCAGCAAGCCTGCCGTAACCACCTACTTGGTGGCAGCGCCGAGAGCCCCACAGATGAGTCCGATCTGTCCCTCCTCTCCCTCGTCCTCGGTCTGAGAAGGGAGACGGATGAGAAACAGACCATGACAGAAGGGGCCAGGAGCTCTGGGGACCCAATGGGCTCCTCCCTCTGGGGGAGAGGCGAGTGGTCCAAAAAGATTTGACCAAAGAGGTGACACTGCACCCAGTCTTACCCAGTAGGCAGGAGTTAAACAAGTGAAGGGGGCTGACCAGAGACATCCAGCAAAGGAAGCAGCACATAGAAAACACAGAGGTGGGAGAGGGCTTGGCGGCTGGCCCTGGACCTGGGGGCGAGAGCCGAGCAGGGGAGAGGCTGGAAGGAGCAGGAGAAAGGGATCGCTGGGGATGGAGGGGTCCCCATGCCTACACACGCCATGGAGCACCACGAGGGGGCTGGGCCGAGCCAGGAGGGTGGCAAGGGCGGGTGCGCTCAGGGCCTGCCCCACCACAGACCCTGACCCACTTGCCCTCCCAGCTTGATCTCCGGCCTCGCCTCTCTGGATGCCAAGACCTCCAGCCGCTTGGGCGTCCTCACGGTGGCCTACTACCTGTGGACCACCTTCGTGGCAGTCATCGTGGGCATCGTCATGGTCTCCATCATCCACCCGGGCGGGGCGGCCCAGAAGGAAGAGGCGGAGCAGAGCGGGAAGCCCATCATGAGCTCAGCCGACGCCCTGCTGGACCTCATCCGGTAACCGGGCCACCCACACCCCGCTTGGGGATGCCGGCGCCATGCAGGCCTGGGGGTGCTGGCTCCACAGGCCCCGCCCACATCTGCCAGAGGGCAGGGGAGGGGCTGCTCCTGATTCCTCCTGGTAGCCAGGGGGCAGCACCGAGGCCACCCTTTGCTCCTCCAGCCCTGTGCTCCCTCAGGGCTCACAGGACAGTCTGCCCCCCCAGGCGGGAGCTCCTCAGGGCAGGGTGGGGCTGCTCCCCGGGGGGCCCAGCCCAGGGCACAGCCGGGCACAGTCCCGGGGTCGGTGTCCGGGAATGTCTGCAGACTGACGGGCTCGCTTGTGCACACCTAGCTTCTCAGGTGAAAAGCCAGCAGTCATGGTAGCCCCTCCCTTCCCCACCCCATCTCCTTTTGGTGTGTGTGTGTGTGTGTGTGTGTGTGTGTGTGTGTGTGTGTGTGTTTAATTTTATTGATTTTTTTTACAGAGAGGAAGGGAGAGAGAGAGAGAGAGAGAGAGAGAGTTAGAAACATCGAAGAGAGAGAAACTTGGATCAGTTGCTTCCTGCATACCTCCTACTGGGGATGTGCCCGCAACCAAGGTACATGCCCTTGACGGGAATTGAACCTGGGACCCTTGAGTCCGCAGGCCGACGCTCTATCCACTGAGCCAAACGATTGGGGCTTTGGTCCCCTTTTTACAGAAGAGGGAATGAGGCTGACAGGCAATGTGACCTTTCCAGGGTCATCCAGCAGGCAGTTGTGGAGCCAGACTCAGCCTTTTCCCTGCACTGTCCTCCCTCCACCCCCCACCCTCACCCCGCCCCAGCTCTGCTCACCATTGTTTCAGGGCCCTGCCTTCTCCCCCCAGAAGAGTGCTGCAGGCCCTGCAATCCACCCGCATCTGACTCCCCTTCCCCAGGCTCCCTCACCCAGGCTGGCCCCGCGCCAGGGCACTCCGAGCGGCCCAGTTCTGGAGGAGAGAAAAGCCACGGACAGACACAGACAGTGGGGTGGAGAGGTCACAGACAGTGGGGTGGAGAGGTCACAGACAGTGGGGTGGAGAGGTCACAGTGGGGTGGAGAGGTCACAGGCAGTGGGGTGGAGAGGTCACAGGCAGTGGGGTGGAGAGGTCACAGGCAGTGGGGTGGAGAGGTCACAGGCAGTGGGGTGGAGAGGTCACAGGCAGTGGGGTGGAGAGGTCACAGGCAGTGGGGTGGAGAGGTCACAGGCAGTGGGGTGGAGAGGTCACAGGCAGTGGGGTGGAGAGAGGGTCACAGACAGTGGGGTGGAGAGGTCACAGGCAGTGGGGTGGAGAGGTCACAGGCAGTGGGGTGGAGAGGTCACAGGCAGTGGGGTGGAGAGGTCACAGGCAGTGGGGTGGAGAGGTCACAGGCAGTGGGGTGGAGAGGACACAGGCAGTGGGGTGGAGAGGACACAGGCAGTGGGGTGGAGAGGTCACAGGCAGTGGGGTGGAGAGGTCACAGTGGGGTGGAGAGGTCACAGACAGTGGGGTGGAGAGGTCACAGTGGGGTGGAGAGGTCACAGGCAGTGGGGTGGAGAGGTCACAGACAGTGGGGTGGAGAGGTCACAGGCAGTGGGGTGGAGAGGTCACAGACAGTGGGGTGGAGAGGTCACAGGCAGTGGGGTGGAGAGGACACAGGCAGTGGGGTGGAGAGGTCACAGGCAGTGGGGTGGAGAGGTCACAGTGGGGTGGAGAGGTCACAGACAGTGGGGTGGAGAGGTCACAGTGGGGTGGAGAGGTCACAGGCAGTGGGGTGGAGAGGTCACAGGCAGTGGGGTGGAGAGGTCACAGGCAGTGGGGTGGAGAGGTCACAGACAGTGGGGTGGAGAGGTCACAGGCAGTGGGGTGGAGAGGTCACAGGCAGTGGGGTGGAGAGGTCACAGACAGTGGGGTGGAGAGGGTCACAGACAGTGGGGTGGAGAGGTCACAGGCAGTGGGGTGGAGAGGTCACAGGCAGTGGGGTGGAGAGGTCACAAACTGTGGGGTGGAGAGGTCACAGGCAGTGGGGTGGAGAGGTCACAGGCAGTGGGGTGGAGAGGTCACAGACAGTGGGGTGGAGAGGGTCACAGTGGGGTGGAGAGGTCACAGGCAGTGGGGTGGAGAGGTCACAGTGGGGTGGAGAGGTCACAGACAGTGGGGTGGAGAGGTCACAGGCAGTGGGGTGGAGAGGTCACAGACAGTGGGGTGGAGAGGTCACAGGCAGTGGGGTGGAGAGGTCACAGACAGTGGGGTGGAGAGGTCACAGACAGTGGGGTGGAGAGGTCACAGGCAGTGGGGTGGAGAGGTCACAGGCAGTGGGGTGGAGAGGTCACAGGCAGTGGGGTGGAGAGGTCACAGACTGTGGGGTGGAGAGGTCACAGGCAGTGGGGTGGAGAGGTCACAGGCAGTGGGGTGGAGAGGTCACAGACAGTGGGGTGGAGAGGGTCACAGTGGGGTGGAGAGGTCACAGGCAGTGGGGTGGAGAGGTCACAGTGGGGTGGAGAGGTCACAGACAGTGGGGTGGAGAGGTCACAGGCAGTGGGGTGGAGAGGTCACAGACAGTGGGGTGGAGAGGTCACAGGCAGTGGGGTGGAGAGGTCACAGGCAGTGGGGTGGAGAGGTCACAGTGGGGTGGAGAGGTCACAGACAGTGGGGTGGAGAGGTCACAGGCAGTGGGGTGGAGAGGTCACAGACAGTGGGGTGGAGAGGTCACAGGCAGTGGGGTGGAGAGGGTCACAGTGGGGTGGAGAGGTCACAGGCAGTGGGGTGGAGAGGTCACAGTGGGGTGGAGAGGTCACAGGCAGTGGGGTGGAGAGGTCACAGGCAGTGGGGTGGAGAGGTCACAGGCAGTGGGGTGGAGAGGTCACAGACAGTGGGGTGGAGAGGTCACAGGCAGTGGGGTGGAGAGGTCACAGGCAGTGGGGTGGAGAGGTCACAGACAGTGGGGTGGAGAGGGTCACAGACAGTGGGGTGGAGAGGTCACAGGCAGTGGGGTGGAGAGGTCACAGGCAGTGGGGTGGAGAGGTCACAGGCAGTGGGGTGGAGAGGTCACAGGCAGTGGGGTGGAGAGGTCACAGACTGTGGGGTGGAGAGGTCACAGGCAGTGGGGTGGAGAGGTCACAGGCAGTGGGGTGGAGAGGTCACAGACAGTGGGGTGGAGAGGGTCACAGTGGGGTGGAGAGGTCACAGGCAGTGGGGTGGAGAGGTCACAGTGGGGTGGAGAGGTCACAGACAGTGGGGTGGAGAGGTCACAGGCAGTGGGGTGGAGAGGTCACAGACAGTGGGGTGGAGAGGTCACAGGCAGTGGGGTGGAGAGGTCACAGACAGTGGGGTGGAGAGGTCACAGACAGTGGGGTGGAGAGGTCACAGGCAGTGGGGTGGAGAGGTCACAGGCAGTGGGGTGGAGAGGTCACAGGCAGTGGGGTGGAGAGGTCACAGACTGTGGGGTGGAGAGGTCACAGGCAGTGGGGTGGAGAGGTCACAGGCAGTGGGGTGGAGAGGTCACAGACAGTGGGGTGGAGAGGGTCACAGTGGGGTGGAGAGGACACAGGCAGTGGGGTGGAGAGGTCACAGTGGGGTGGAGAGGTCACAGACAGTGGGGTGGAGAGGTCACAGGCAGTGGGGTGGAGAGGTCACAGACAGTGGGGTGGAGAGGTCACAGGCAGTGGGGTGGAGAGGTCACAGGCAGTGGGGTGGAGAGGTCACAGTGGGGTGGAGAGGTCACAGACAGTGGGGTGGAGAGGTCACAGGCAGTGGGGTGGAGAGGTCACAGACAGTGGGGTGGAGAGGTCACAGGCAGTGGGGTGGAGAGGGTCACAGTGGGGTGGAGAGGTCACAGGCAGTGGGGTGGAGAGGTCACAGACAGTGGGGTGGAGAGGGTCACAGACAGTGGGGTGGAGAGGTCACAGACAGTGGGGTGGAGAGGTCACAGGCAGTGGGGTGGAGAGGTCACAGGCAGTGGGGTGGAGAGGTCACAGGCAGTGGGGTGGAGAGGTCACAGACAGTGGGGTGGAGAGGTCACAGACAGTGGGGTGGAGAGGACAGACAGTGGGGTGGAGAGGTCACAGGCAGTGGGGTGGAGAGGACAGACAGTGGGGTGGAGAGGTCACAGACAGTGGGGTGGAGAGGACAGACAGTGGGATGGAGAGGTCACAGGCAGTGGGGTGGAGAGGGTCACAGTGGGGTGGAGAGGACAGACAGTGGGGTGGAGAGGTCACAGGCAGTGGGGTGGAGAGGTCACAGGCAGTGGGGTGGAGAGGTCACAGGCAGTGGGGTGGAGAGGTCACAGGCAGTGGGGTGGAGAGGGTCACAGTGGGGTGGAGAGGTCACAGACAGTGGGGTGGAGAGGTCACAGGCAGTGGGGTGGAGAGGTCACAGACAGTAGGGTGGAGAGGGTCACAGACAGTGGGGTGGAGAGGTCACAGACAGTGGGGTGGAGAGGTCACAGGCAGTGGGGTGGAGAGGTCACAGACAGTGGGGTGGAGAGGTCACAGGCAGTGGGGTGGAGAGGTCACAGACAGTGGGGTGGAGAGGTCACAGACAGTGGGGTGGAGAGGACAGACAGTGGGGTGGAGAGGTCACAGGCAGTGGGGTGGAGAGGACAGACAGTGGGGTGGAGAGGTCACAGACAGTGGGGTGGAGAGGACAGACAGTGGGGTGGAGAGGTCACAGGCAGTGGGGTGGAGAGGGTCACAGTGGGGTGGAGAGGACAGACAGTGGGGTGGAGAGGTCACAGACAGTGGGGTGGAGAGGACAGACAGTGGGGTGGAGAGGTCACAGACAGTGGGGTGGAGAGGACAGACAGTGGGGTGGAGAGGTCACAGGCAGTGGGGTGGAGAGGTCACAGGCAGTGGGGTGGAGAGGTCACAGGCAGTGGGGTGGAGAGGTCACAGACAGTGGGGTGAAGAGGGTCACAGACTGTGGGGTGGAGAGGTCACAGACAGTGGGGTGGAGAGGTCACAGGCAGTGGGGTGGAGAGGTCACAGACAGTGGGGTGGAGAGGTCACAGACAGTG